ATATCTGCGCACAGGTTCATTTATTTCGCATAATCGGTTTAGTCCTTTGAATTAGGGTGTATCGATAGTAAAAAACAAGGACAGGGACAAAAAATGCCTGTTATTCCAAACTTTTATATTAAAAGGACTACAGGGATGCTTAGGGATTTTTTTATAACACTTTGTAGTCCAAAGAAATAATGTTTGTAAGTTTTTAAATTGGACATAAAAATATATAGTGACATTTTTTATAAAGAGATAAAACTCAAAGTAGTCTTTTCAACAGAAGAGTCTTAAATTACCCCTATTGTCGGTCCCATTGTTAAGACCTTTATTATTATTATTTATATATTATTTTGGCTTTTTCGCTTTTCCTAATATTTTTTTAATTTTTTTTCGGAAGGCTGAAATTGTATATCCCTTTTTAAGGCGAGTCTGTTCTTTATGTGTAAATTGTTTGGCTTCTGCATTATGTTTTTCTGGTCGGTTTGGCAGAGAACTGTGCTTCTAACCCCTTACAAATGTTTCTGGGCACTTTCAGGTGTTTCGTAGAAACGTCAATTGTGTGTGCAGGGGGGTTAAACGCGGCAACTGACCAGCTTAACCATTTCCACTGGCACCCTACGCTGATGATGGTCTTTTGAAAGTTTGTGGGCCCTTTGTTATGAGCCGCGCCAAATGTTTGGGTTAAGTGTTGGTTGTATCCCGCATCCTAGTTTCCAGTGGCCATTCCCCAACCCGAATCCCGACCCAAGTACTCACCGCAGTTGGGTTTGCCCCGTGTGCGTGTGTTGGCGAACTCGACTCCGTGCTTGTCCACGCACCAGCAGACTCCCACCGAGTTGTGGCACTGGGTGGGCTTGTAGAATCCCTGGATGTCGCAGTCCGGTGCGTAGGCCCCTAATTAGTTAGCGGCGCCACAAGGAGGGAGAGAGAGAAAGTGCAGCGTTTTAGTGGGGCAACTTGGTGGGGCAGTAATGGGTGGGTTAGTTTTGTAATCGTGAGAAGCGGCACAAGCAAGTTGTTGCTGGATCTATTTTGTTTTTTGGGTTTCGTATAGTAGGGTCGTGTGGCGGGCGAACAAAGGAAGAAATTATATAGTTATATAATATATATATTTTATAAGAGGGGTTCCAAAAAGGCAAACACAAAAAGCATCGGACTGTGGCGGTTTCTACAGCGGGGGTTTTGGGGGGTTTATGGGGTTCTGAGGTTGCGAAAAAGTTCTGTGTTGTTGTTAAAAGTGTTTAATTTGCTGGCTTAAAAGTTGGAGATATAGAAAAAACGGGGCAGCGAGCACAAACGAAAGTTAACAACGAAAGCGGCGCGAAAAAAAGGTTACTTCTCTTAACTGCTTTGTGTTTGAGTGTGTGTGTTGTTGGTTTTTCAGCAGAGTGTTTAAGTGTAAGTGTGTCAGGGTTTCTATTTAGCTGTCAGGCGCTTAATTATAGTTTGAAAAAGGTTCCAACGCGTGTAAAGTAGGAGCAAAGAGTGTCAGACAAACAAAAACTAAGCGGGCAACAAAGCGCCGTCCGAAAGAGATGGCAGATAGCACGATAGAAAGAGACGGAAACAGAGGCAGCGAAAGAGATGGCAATTGAGGCGGTAGTGAAGGTGAAAGTAACGAAACCAACTGAACCAAATTACTCTTTGCGCGCTTATTATCTTTTTTTTCTTTGGTTTGTTTTAGTTTGGTTGTTTTCTAGTTGTTGTTGTGGTCTATTTTTTTGGGTGTTTGGGAATATACATAAATAAGGCCCAGGACCCGCACAACTCATACGAATATAGAGAGAACATAGAAGTATTAGTGTTATGTAGCCAGAGAAATGTCCACCTGTACCTATCTCACCTGCAAAGTCGCCGGCGATTTCCGGCGAACGGCGGCACAGGGGCGATCCGTCTTCTCGAAGCACCGGCACCACTCCCTGGTGTGATCGAGCTGTCCGTGTCCAAGTCGCAGGTGTCGATGAACGGCTTGATGCACCGCTCGTTCTGGTCGTGCTCCAGGTCGTACATCTCCTGCAGCGACAGCTGTCCGTCGTTGTTCAGGTCCAGGTGGCCGAACATCCACTTGGCTCCGTCTTGCAGGCGGGTGGAAGTGGGCCTTCGATTCTGGCTGTGCTGGCGCCGCTTCTTGCTGTCGGCCATGATCACCGAGAACCAGTCCAGCAGCCGGTTGCCAATCGCCGTCAGCTGCTGCGGCTTGCACTCCGCCGATTTCGAAGGGTAGGCTGTGGGGGTATGAAAATACATCGTTATAATACTAATTAGAGATATTTGTCTTTATAGATAGTTTGGTCCATTTTCGAGTAAAGTTACATTAGGATCTTAAGAGTGTCGAGTACACTACCCTTTATACTTAATATCTTCAGTTCCATCTGTGAATCAAATTCTATTTCATACGAATATGCCTTTCGAACTTTAAATTCTTTTTAAGAAACATAAAATATTTCTTTTTATTTTCGGTTCATCAAAATTCCTACGATTTGCGTTTTAAGAGTCTTTAAATAACCAATAAAAAAGTAAATTTAAGGAACTTCTAGATTTCCAAAGCACTTGAGAATAGATTCAGAAAGTATGTATTTCATTTTTGTAAGGAATGTCATAATCAAATTTGGTATAATTTTATTTGTTTACTAAATAATCTGAAAGTGGTATTATAAATATTTGGCAGAATTACGTGCATATTGTTGGTAATGGCCAAATTTGTCGGAACCCTTTTGTGTTTATTGGGGAGTCTCACCATTCAAGTTGGTGTTCTTATTGAACTTCTGCTGCTGCTTCTCCACCACCTCGTTGTAGTTGCGCATCTTGTGCTTGTCCTCCTGGTACTTGGAGTCCTGCCAATTGGAAAACAGTTAGGAATACAGGATACAGAAACACTACAGGAGACTTCGACCACTTACCTTCTTGTAGGCCGTGTACTTGAGGTACTTGTAGTGCTTGTTGTCGTATTTGATCTCCTCGGGCGTGAATGTGTACTGGGCATTAATGTGGTTGTAATGCCGGTTATTGTCCTCTTTGTCCTGCGGAAAACCCAAAATGAAAATGTCCCAAAATATCGATAAATATATATATACTTGATTAACTTACATTCATGATGTGTTTAAGTCGTTGTTGTTGCCACCCATTATGTTGCCGCTGTTCATCATGATGTTGTTGTTGCTGCTATCCTTGTAAGCCTGCTGCTGCTGTTGTTGTTGCTGCTGTTGTTGGTCCAGGCTGATCTTCTTGTTGTACTTGTTGTAGCCGGCGATACGTTGCAACCGCTTTCCATCGACGTTCTCTGTGGAAAATAAAAGGGCCAAGTGGCGAAATGGTCAGGAAACCGCTGGAACAGGCCAACTTTTTGCATCCGGGCATCAGAGCCCCCCGTCCGAAACCCTCCAAATTCTGTTTTTCTGCTTTATTTTCCGGCCAACACTGCCCTCTCAGCTGTGCAAAATTGAAAATTAACGTGCCTGACTGGCTGAGTGGTTTTGGGGGCCCCCAATAACAATGGCAACGTCGGCTACTTGTTCGCCGGCCTATTAAATATTTAACAAGTGATGTGCCCGGGCAAAAATATATTTAAAGCCAAAGCCATTGTTTGGTAATTGGAATTTTTAATTGCCAGCTTTTGAGGAGGATTTGCTCTCCTCCCTAACAAATCGCGTTTAGCAGTCAGCTCAGTTTTTTGCAGCATACTTTCATGGGCAAACAACGGGCGACTAAGCCTGTCGCAAAATATGCATGCAATTTATTTTGCAGTCTACGGAGGTCCTTCGTAGTCCTTCCTACTCTGGCCAACTGCCAGGCAGTAGCTCATTATGCGGAGGCATTTGATTCTGGTCTGGGAGGGCCATGTTATTTGTTCCCGGCACTCTTAGTCCGTTTGTTATGGCTAGGATTTGGATAGACTCACCCTTGCAGGACAGAATCCTTTGCAGGCGATCCGTAGACGTCGAATGTATGCAATTGTGATAATCCAATCTGCATAGTGATGAGTAGGTCCTGTTGTCAGCACCGCACAGAACGTCGGCTTGGCCACAGGACACGGCTTGCAGTTGCTACAAAAAGGAGCGGAGTTTAGAATGCCGCCTGAAATCAGAAAAGTAAAACTCAAGGGGCGCAACAACAAATAGATGACATGCAAAATTAATTTTTATGCAAATGAAGCCTGCTTCCTTCCCTATCCCTCTCTCTATATATAATACCATCTTTTTTTTTTGTATCTCTGTCCACATGTCCCTCAGCTCTGGTGGACAATTTGTTGAACAGGTAGGAGAGCAGCGGAGGTCCTTGCTTATACATTTATTTAAATATTTATTTAATATGCGCTGCACGCACGCCCAGGCAAACAGGCGAGCCATGAGATTGGCCCGGGATTGGGGAGCAGGATGTGGATGGGGCGCAGGACGAAACTTTATTTAATAATTTGAACAAATATTTAAGCTGCCAACGTCAAACGAAAAGCACCCGGGGCACACTCATAATTTAGCTTTTCGTACACACAACTCCATTCCATTGTACGTAACCATTATCCTTTCAGTTCCTCGAGCAACATTTATCCTTTTTTAATTGCTTTAGCACTTAATCTGCTGCCAATCAAATATCTTAAAAATTCAAAAGAAAATCACACCCCTCAATTTATCTTGTTCCCCTTTTTTTTAATAAATAAAACCAACAAAACGATTATTCCAATTAATAACTGCCACTGCAGTGGCCATCCGTTCAATAAAAAAGTGTGAGTTTTTTATACGCTCCGATGTCGCTTTAATTGGCCTGCCACGAATTCGCCACCAATTGCCACGAACCCTATTTCATAATTTTATTCAGAGATATATATTCTCCGTTGTTTGGACCCGCTGCTGGCGTTTTTTTTCGTCTGGTAACAAATAAAATTTGCACATTTATTTGGCTGTACAATGCCGGGTGAGAATGAATGAAAAGCAATTTGCCTAATTGCCCCAATTTGGCAGTCATAATTAGAGGATTTCATCGGGCTTTTGTGTTTTTTTTTTAAAGAAATATTAATTGAAAATTGGACTGCTTTTCGGGTCAGGCTTGGCTTTGCAACTGTCACTTGTTTGCCTTTGCCAAATAAACTTAAACAAGGATAAAGCCTTGGGTACACAACTGTTTAGAGCAGAAGAATATATTCGTAAATTTAATAAAATAAAAGAATAACTAGATTTGTCAAAGGACTTTGGATATGCATCTGTGTCCCCTAAGCTGGCCAATTTGATTGCAGAGCCAATGTAAACGTACCAATGGCCAAAACCAAAGTAAACATATTCCCGGATATGTATATCCCTATATCCTTCACTTCCCGCTGTGTTTGTGTGTGTGCACAGCTTTTAATTAAAAATTCTCTCGCATGTTCTTTGCTCGCTTCCGGTTCGCTTTGTTTGCCCTGCTCCGCCGGATTGTTTATACAAATTTAATGAAATTCTTAGGGCCAAGTAAATAGTGAGACGAATAAATTTTGATAATGCGATCCTTGGTCAATGACAGCGACCATAGAAATGCCACTGCCGATGGCATCTTGAATGGCCCGCCCAGCATCTGCCGGTTGCTTTGAGCAAATTGCCCATCAAATGCCGTGACTCCCTTTTCCCTCTCTCTATCTGAAAAATGTGTAAATTTTTACTCAAATATTTGCTTTCAATTTTGCAGCCCCAACCCATCCGGGAACCGAGAACAGAGTTTTCGGGACCCAAGACTCCCTTTGAGCGACTCCAGTACCTGCTGCCTCTGTACCCCAAATTTGCTGGAGCCGACAGCTTCATGTGCTTAGACCACAAAACAGCTCAGTGGTTTCGAATAACTGCCAGGGACAGAGGGCCCCACACACAAACAGCCGAGTTGCGGCAGCTTGAGGTGAGATCCGAACTATGGCATGTGCCCTATCCCAGCGGGGCCTTATGGAATCCCTCCAGAACCCTTTCCAGCGATGCACTCTGGTCAGTTCTTGAAAGCAAAACAGTCGAACTGGGGTAAGTCTTGACAGAAGAAGTCTAAAATAAATTTTTAATTAAGGAAAAGCAAAAGTATGGATCATTATAAACACAAGGCAGTCAAATTGGGATAAAATTTATCATAAGAAATTTAAAATAAATACAAAAGATATAACAAAAGTAAGAAAGGAAAATAATATAAAATGGAAAGTTTTTAATATATAAATATGGAATTATATCCTTATAAGAACTTTAGAATACCTTATATTTGGAAAAATGTGAATATTTTTAGCATAATTTAATATTAAACTTGTATTTAAGTTACAAGAGTGGTAGATATTATCTAAAGTTCTACGAATTGTATTCTAAAAACAAATTGAACAAAAAAACGTCCTATAACTGAGCAAAGGTACACAATAAAACTCATAAGAAAGACAAGAATTTCCAGAAATATGTTATAAATTATGATAAATATATTTCTGTCAAACTGAACTAATAAAAATTCGATTTATCCACAGCTCTTCTTATAGACGCCACTGTGCGATGGCATATTGTTGCAACAAACAATGCCCGTCTCACACATGAGTTATGGCCCGATCTCGTTCTGCAGCTGGTTGGGTTATGTGTGTTTGGGTATTGTGGAGGTTGCCTGGCATTTTGGTCTATTAGAAGTGCCCTACCCCCCATCCCTACTACTACCTACCCCTGAAGACCCTTTCACTGAGGCAGGTCTTTTGTTTGACTTGCGCCTGAATGGAAAGACGAGAACTGGAGCAGCTCCCGCTGCCATGATGAGTGGCAATGCTGTGGCTCAAACTATTGATTTTGCCCACGGCGTGACACATTCATATTTCATGCCATTGACATAGATACACATATGCAAAGCGGGGACTTTTCGTGAAAGCAAAATTGAAAAGGAAAATTCGTAAACATAAAAGAATAGGGGAAATATGTCAAAAGCCATTGTTAATGTCATCGCTGGGAGCTGAAAATGGGGAATGTGATCGGGGCGCGTGATTTGCCTATAGATTGATTTTTACACTCAAACACCCACCGTGCCGCGTTGTTTGGCAAGTGGATTTTAATTCAATTACAGTCGCCTGACGAGGCACATAGAAAACAACAGGCGCCCTGAAATCCATCGCCTTACTGGCCCCAGTTTTCTTACCACAATTTATTTACGCAAGTATTTTCGGATAATTTGTTTTTCATTTCAAAATATATGTTCGCCAACGGATCAGAGCGAAAACTTTGGGGCCATGTCAGGAAGCGTGCTTGAAATTAAACTTTGTTCAAACAAAAACACAACTGATAAACAAGACGAGCATAAAATAGAAGCGAAAACATTTTTATAACACTCGGGTGGGGGCTGAATATCAAAGGATTGAGAAGTGGGACACGAGTCCAAGAAGTTGGCTATTGGTTGGACTTTGGGTAAACAAAATTTGAGGAGCTTTTAAAATGAAACTGTAGACAAGGCCATAAAAATAGAATTTTGTATATAACTTAAAGCATCTAAACAGTTATTGAACTTAAGGCGTTCGAAAATGTAATATTATTTACTAGTATACCTTTCATTATCTACACAATTTCGTATTTAGAAAATACGTAATCAAGTCTTATTTCTCATTAAAAAATGTACCCGATATATTTTTATAACCATTATTGTAAAAAATTATAAGAAATAGTTTGACACTTCTTTGTTACTTTTTAATTGCGCATTTTTAAAAGCATGCAAGTACAGCTGATTTTTTAAGCATAGCTTTTTTCTATAAGACCTTTTGTTGCGGGAAACATCCTTGAAAGTGTGTGAAAATGTACGGGAAACATTTCCAAATATTTTCTGAAAAGGAAATTGACTGTTTGTTGCCAACGACTTCCTATCGCTGCTGGGTGCAATCGCAACCCTTTTCCTGTGGAAACCCAAGCCAATCAAGCCTTGACACCGACTCGGCTTTGACTTCATTTTCCGGGCTCTGCCGCTGGCACACCTGCTCCTGGTCCTTCGGCCAAGGAACTACCCTTTTCTTCTTGGAGGCACTGCTCGCGTGCCAGTCCACAATTTGGGTTAGGGTCAAAGCGATAACACGGAACAAGTCAAGGGATAGGGATCCGACGACGGCACGCGTCAAAGGGTAAAGGCCGTAAAGCTGTCGTTGCGGCCCATTGAACCATTCAGCCAGAAGTATGCCACTACCAAACATCCAAAAAGCCAACGGCGATAGGAGGGCAAAAAGAGGCCAGGGCCCCTATGCCCAAAGGCTGCGTGCTAAAAATTGTACTACACCACTGTAAATTTATTGCGGAATTTTTATACACGATAAAACAATTTGTTATTAGCATGGAGACCGTGGAAATCAGTGAGAGTTCGGAGTGCGGGCGGGGCCGGATGTCAAAGGTGACCCGACCCCCCGTCGTCAACCCTTTTTGTGGACTCGAATTTGCTTAATGAAATGTAAAATCCCACACAAAGGCAATCGCAAAAAGATCGGCCCGAAAGTTAAGCACTTGAATTGTACACTTAGAAAAATATATAGGCAAAAAGGATATCTCGAAATGGAAAAATTAAAAATAATGAGGATGCCTAGTAAAAAAGTTTATACAGCTAACCATTGGTATTACCAGTAAATGTCTTATAACCCAGATCTTACGCAAATTGATAATATGTCTACAGTGAATTAAAAAAATATAAAACAGGTTATGTTTAACTTTGTTTAAAATTATACACAAATTTGTTCATAAAATATTTTTTGAGAGACCCCACATATTTATTGTACACTGTTTCCAAAAGCTTAAAACTTAAGGTACATGGAGGAATCGGCCATAGTTGCTAAGACTTTCGGCCGGTCTAAATTATTATTACCACACATAATTTATCATATTATCTAATTGTTAAATTTTGGTGGTGAAATTTTAAAAGATATGAAATAGGTAAGGGTCGTTCCCATTAGAATTAATTCCCAAAAGAATGAAGTATATAAAGGATAGTCGTCTTTCTGAATGAATTCATTTTACTTCTAAGTATATAATATATTGATTTTAAATAGTTTAACAAACTTGTAATGAAACCTCGCTTTTTAGTTGATGAAGTCTCTAACGGAAACTCATCTGACTTTATAGAAATAATAAAAACAAGGAGAGATCTTTAATTCCATACTCTAAGTGGGTGGGCCCTTTCCAAGTGAGGACTTAGTTCTTAAAAATGTTTATCAGTGTACTCACTCCAACTCCTCGTCGTCGTCCTGCTGAATGGCGGAGGGAGCTGCAGGAGGCTGGGATTGCTGCTGCTGTTGTTGCTGTGACTGCTGCTTATCGCCGGCGGCGATGCTGTTCTCGTAGAAGACATCATCCTCCTTGGAGTCCTCGTCGTCGGCCAGGCTGAGGCTCTTATCTTCGTCGTCGGTCTCCTCGTTGCCCTGGACATTGGCCTGGCCATTGTTTTGGCCCGTGGGGCTGGCGTTGCTGCTGCCGCCGTCGCTGCTGTTGTCCTCGTCGTCGTTGTTGATGTCCTCCGCATCCTGGCTATCCTGGTTGTCCTGCTGGTTGACACGCCGCTTGGCCTCCTCCTCCAGATACTTGGCCTTGGTGATTATCTCATCACTGGAATGCGGAATATGGTTCGGGTTTTTAGTTTAGAAGGCCTGCGGCTCGGACGTAGCAATTTAATTGGCTCGTCTGGAGGGAAATGCCCCAAAAAGGACCTACCGATTCTTGTGGAGCTCCTTCTTCGACACGCAAACGGCACTGAACTCGTCCTCCAGCAGGCAAATTTCACGCTTCTTGCAGTTCAGCGGTCGGCAAAGGTCACCTGCAAATGGGGCAAATTTAATTTATTAATAGGTCATATTGTGCATATATAAAGTGGTGTGCGAAAACGTAATTTCCCGAAGCCTGTGCAACTCACTCGAGGGATCGTGTATCCAGCGCTTGTGCTCGCCCAGATTCTTGTTGTTCTGCGTGTTCTTGTTTATCTGGAAGTGAGAGAACAATAAATTGCATGTGAAACATTTGCTAGTTTAATTTTGTTATTTAAATGCATAAAAAATGCAAAGTGCACACATAGCACACAAGCCAAACCGAACTGACGTCTGTCAAAATGCACACATGCACAAATGGCATCCATTCAGACCCACTGAGGCAAACACACACAGGGCGTATGCGTAATGGCAGTTCACATGGACTTTCAGGACACTATGGCATATTTGCACTACAGGGGGAAAAGTTAAAAAGCAAACAGTATCGAGTCAGGGGAGAACTGAAAAAACTAGGTACGAGATGGGCGAGTAGTGTCATATGGGTGTATGCCTTTCTAATGATGATCAATAGTTCATCTGTTATGGCAACAAATGGAGCGTTGGACTCACAGTTTAAAGCTAGGAAAAATAACATTTTTTGCGAGCAAGAAAAACTTAAATTGCTTTGTATAATCCGAAAAGGCCTCCCCAGCTGGCAAAAAAATGCATGTCCAAGTGAACATATGCAAATCCGATTGCATACTAAAAATATGGCATATTCCTGCCTTGCTTAGTTATGCGACACTCGGTGCAGATTTATTTTAATTTAATTCAATTCAGCACGTTGCTTAAGCTCGCCCAGCAAAACCACCCACGAAAATGGTGTGTATTTTCCCATTTCCTGGGCATTGTGAGGCGAACCGAAATGTTATTAAGTGCAATGGTGCGTATGCATAATATTTAACTTGTCTATAAAATTTATGATGCCCCAACAGCATCTGCGGCAACGAAAATAGCGACTGCCACTGCTGCTGCTGCTGTTGGTTAAATGGGGAAAATAAGCTTTGAAAAATGGGGAAAATAAATAAAGCACCCACCGTGAGCTCACGTTGACTTGACAGTTTTGTATTTGGAGTTTGGGCAACCGTTGCATGGACGGCTGATATTGCAATCGCCGCTGTCAGTTGGCTTAATGAAAGCGACAGGAGCTGCAGGACACCAACTGAGGCAGTAACGGCTGAAAGCTTCGAGCCTGGCTGGTTGCAAATGTTTTCCGCCCACATGCACCCAAACTCACAGCCCGTTTCGAGCGCGAAATCGCTCAAGTGCGAAGTGGCAATTGCGGGACACACATCCACTGGCAACACCCATCGCCACCCACTTTCAGCCCACTTTCATCCCACCCTCCTTTCACGCCCATCGTCCTTTCCCTGTAATGCAATAAACTCGTCCAGGACGTGGACGCAGGCAATTTGCATGCGTTAAAACGCAATTTGTGCGCGTTTCCTGGCCGCGGCCGCAACGTTCCTGCCCCCGGTTCGGAACCTTCCATCCTTACCCCCATCCCCATTCCCATCCCCATCCCAAATCCCTTCTTCCGATGCCTTTTTCCTACCACTTTACCAACGCCCCACGCCTTCTGGCACATTCCGATGAGACTCTTCATCGCACCGGGATCTCTTGCAGCTTTAATACGCTCGCCTGTGATTGCAGTGCAGTGCGCTCCACTAAAAAAAATAAATTAAGCCCCTTGGGTTAAAATAATATTAAAAAATTCTTCAGCAAACAACCACAAAAACTGTAAAACAGCCTGCGGACAAGAAAGAATTTTATAAAAATTTGTTTCTTAACTTTAAATGTAAATTTTTGGTATATATAAATTTTTATTTTTCAAAACCAATTGTATTTTTCTATTAAACTTTGCAGTATTCAATATCAAAATTGTTTAAAGAAAAGAGCAAGAATTAAAAATTCATTTCATTTTATGTGTCTAAAAGTATGCAGTACATAAACGAATCTGAATAAATTGAGTTGAGTCCCGTGCTTAAAATATTTTGTTGCATACTTTTGGACACCTAAAATGAAATTAAAGAGTTTGTTTTTTAATTTTTCACTTTGAAAACTTTTTTGTACGTTTTTCTATTGCCCACTGTTTTAATAAAAATCTACTTTTTTTTTCTCTGCATGGGTATGTGGATCTGCGGCTGGGCTCGCTGATTGGCTTGGCCGGCAATCCGTGCGGCCTGCTTCTGTGGCGCTACGTTTGTTGGCTTTAATTGCGCTGCGTTTGCTGTGGTGGCGGTGCTGCTGGTGGTACGGGGCAGGTGGTGCTGATGCCGGGGGAGTCCGGGTACCCAGGGTGGTGCTGCTATCACCGGCGTTGGCCATGCGATTGACCTTATTGTGGCTTTTTACGGGGGCGCGTGATAAACTTGCGCACAGCTGTGCAAAAGGCAACACGGTGACATGACCCAAACAGCATGGCATTAAAAAATGCCCCACTAAACTGGGTCAAAACAGCAGCTGCAAGTGAAACATAATGCAACACAGCACCATCCCCAGTGCACTGGGGCTGGATAAAAGGCACCACCAGCCAACACCACCCACAAGTTGGCAAAAGTTTGCCAGCCGTTTAACCTCTTTGCCAGATTTCTGGCTGTTTAAGTGGCTGAGCTTATTAAAGCCCATTTAATTGGCGGTGCTCCACAGGCGCCTTCAAGCAAAACTTGACCCTAATTTGGAAGTCGCTCGAGAAGTGGGAGAAAACCTAGGAGTGAAGAGGGAGTCCCTGGGAGTGGAAATGGAGCACTTTGTAGCCTGGAGCCTGGAGCTTTGGGGGAACTA